GTAAAAAACAAAAAAAAACTAAGATGCAGCCAAAGCGGCCCAGCTGCGTCCGATGAAATGGCCTCCTCCACCGCGATTCGCTCTGCCACTGAGGGCGGATGCCTTCTGCGGAAAGGGCGAGTACAAACAAGTACACACACAAAGCTCTTAAAACTCCCCAACCTCTGGCAGCAGAGTGAAGTCCGTCTGCGGCAAGCTGAAACAAGCTGCTGCAGCAATCGCGCAGAACAATGGCACACTTCCTTTGCGGCGTCTCATGGCCATCACTGCATGCGCAGGAAAGGTCAACAACGCAATGTGTCCATAAAGGGTAAGCAGCTGAATGCATGTGCAATAAGATTGAGACACCACGTCGTCCAACACAGCTGAAGCCATCGTGCGACACAGACTTTTGCAACTGCGCTCACGAGACCCAAACGTCCAGCACGCTGAACCGAAGGACCCACCTTCTCCACCGGAGTGGGGTCTAGGGTTTTGTGGCCTTGAAGGTTTAGGGGGTGAGCAAGCCGACACTTTCGAGAAGCCTTGCCTCTTAGTACTCGCTCTAAAACTGATCCTGAAGCTAAACCCTACATTCTGAGAGCCCAAACACCAGTTCTGAGATGGTTGTTCGCACAGCTCTTCAGAGCCAACCCTTTTCTGGAAAACTGTGCCATCATGCAAAACGCGAAAACACAGGAACTCAACCGCTGCGTGCAAGAAACCAAAATAACTGTCTGCAACAAGGCGGCACATCAACCTACCATGAGGCAACTTCCTCGTGCAAGCTTTTCAGGGCATCTTCTGTTTGGCAATTGTCGCGTGCAAGCTTGAAGCAAACCTGTAAATCATCTCTGTAGGATGCCATATGATGGCATGCGCGTTCTCATCGCGCATGAGCTTTGCAATTTTGCGTGGCTCATAGGCGGTAGTATTGATGACTGCCTCAATGCCTGCGCCTCCGCTCTGAAGCAGTGCGTGGAAAATCTGCTGACCCACCTGCTTTCCATCAAGCGTAAGACTCATGAAGTTCACCACGTCTTTTTCTGCCATCTTGTGGAAGCGCTGCTTAATGTGGCTCAGATTGATTCCTCTCCTCACAGGGGAAATGACACCGAAAGCGAGTCTCACACAAAGGTCAGAAACGTGACTGCAAAGCAAAACACGGGCAAAGTGTTTAGAGAAGGCACTTCAGCATACTGCATGCATCCACCAAATCACCAGCACGGTGGCCACCTTGCTGGAACCCTATGCTCACGCAACAAAGGGAAGCATTGAAGATAAAAAATGACAGAAGTCTGAAGCATTGCCTGCCACAGCACAATTTTCAATGATTGCTGTCGCGGCCGACTCGTGCTCGTGCATCTTGAGCAACTCACTCGCCTCCTTCTCGGTCATGTCGCCCACCCAGATGTCGAATCTGCGACCGCCAGCATCAAACGCCAGAGCCGAGGCAGCAGATGAGGCGGCCACCAGCACCTGAAATGCATTGAGACTGGGAAAGCGGCGACTCAACAAGGAAGTCAGAGTTGATTCATGGATTGACTATCAGCCGCGGGACATGTGCCGTTGCGGCGTAGCGTGAATCACTCGACATGTCCTTCGCTGTGGTGGAAACCAACTTCATCCCCTCCTCCTTACCTCAGGGGAGTTGCTTGCAAACGCTGACGCTATTCACAAAGTGCGCGCAGGCCTCCTTTGGTGTCGCGAGGAATGTCCAGAAGCAGGATGGGATATTGGGTCAGGTTCTTTGCAAACTTCTTCTTTTGCAACTTGGCGCGGACACGACGAAGCACCTCGGCAAACATGTTCGCGTCCTTCACTCCAAGCATTTGGTACATGGCAGGCTTCCAGTCTTCCACCTCGACCGTGAAGGCCCACACACCACAAACACTGCGCAAAGCCTCTTCCACGCCCACAGTCTTGCCGGATTTGTAGCGGCCACTCACGATGGTCGCGTCGGACTGCTGCCGCCAGCTGCGCAGCCTATGTTGGATGTCATCTACGACCTTTCGTGGGACGACCTCGTCCGGAGACTTGGCTGGCTCATAGGGTTCCATGAACTTCTTTACGGCCAGACGCTTCATGCGAAAGTCCGAGGAGGCATACGTGAATGCAAGGCCTAGGCCAGACACCACAAAGCCTGCAACAGCCAGGGAAAAGTCTCGTATATCGCGAATGTCAGCTGTCCTGTTGGGCGCAGCATGCATTGCCCTTTGTATCACAGCTCGAAGCTGCGGCCACGCATTCAGTTGGGTCGGTGGCGCGCTGGGCCGTCTTCTGCTGCAACTCCCCGGCTTTGCCTTGCTCGGGGGAAAAAAACCAAAAACACTTTAGCATGAGTAATTTCAAAAAAATAAAATAAAAAAAACTACGATGCAGCCAAAGCGGCCCAGCTGCGTCCGATGAAATGGCCTCCTCCTCCGCGATTCGCTCTGCCACTGAGGGCGGATGCCTTCTGCGGAAAGGGCTCTGGCAGCAGGGTGAAGTCCGTCTGCGGCAAGCTGAAACAAGCTGCTGCAGCAATCGCGCAGAACAATGGCACACTTCCTTTGCGGCGTCTCATGGCCATCACTGCGTTGGCACGAAAGGTCAACAACGCAATGTTTCCATAAAGGGTAAGCAGCTGAATGCATGTGCGATAAGATTGAGACACCACGTCGTCCAACACAGCTGAAGCCATCGTGCGACACAGACTGTTGCAACTGCGCTCACGAGCCCCAAACGTCCAGCACGCTGAACCGAAGGACCCACCTTCTCCACCGGAGTGGGGTCTAGGGGTTTGTGGCCTTGAAGGTTTAGGGGGTGAGCAAGCCGACACTTTCGAGAAGCCTTGCCTCTTAGTACTCGGCTGTTCAAATCCCTCTGAAACTGATCCTGAAGCTAAACCCTACATTCTGAGAGCCCAAACACCAGTTCTGAGATGGTTGTTCGCACAGCTCTTCAGAGCCAACCCTTTTCTCGAAAACTGTGCCATCATGCAAAAACGCGAAAACACAGGAACTCGACCGCTGCGCGCAAGGAACCAAAATAACTGTCTGCAACAAGTCGGCACATCAACCTACCATGAGGTAACTTCCTCGTGCAAGCTTTTCAGGGCATCTTCTGTTTGGCAATTGTCGCGTGCAAGCTTGAAGCAAACCTGTAAATCATCTCTGTAGGATGCCATATGATGGCATGCGCGTTCTCATCGCGCATGAGCTTTGCAATTTTGCGTGGCTCATAGGCGGTAGTATTGATGACTGCCTCAATGCCTGCGCCTCCGCTCTGAAGCAGTGCGTTTAAAATCTGCTGACCCACCTGCTTTCCATCAAGTGTAAGACTCATGAAGTTCACCACGTCTTTTTCTGCCATCTTGTGGAAATCGACCTTGATGTCGCTCAGATTGATTCCTCTCCTCAGAGGGGAAAAGCCACCGAAAGCGAGTCTCACACAAAGGTCAGAAACGTGACTGCAAAGCAAAACACGGGCAAAGTGTTTAGAGAAGGCACTTCAGCATATTGCATGCATCCACCAAATCACCAGCGCGGTGGCCACCTTACTGAAACTCTGTGCTCACGCAACAAAGAGAAGCATTCAAAACAACAGCTTGACAGAAGCCCGAAGCATTGCCTGCCACAGCACAATTGTCAATGATTGCTGCCGCGGCCGACTCGTGCTCGTGCATCTTGAGCAACTCACTCGCCTCCTTCTCGGTCATGTCGCCCACCCAGATGTCGAATCTGCGACCGCCAGCATCAAACGCCAGAGCCGAGGCAGCAGATGAGGCGGCCACCAGCACCTGAAATGCATTGAGACTGGGAAAGCGGCGACTCAACAAGGAAGTCAGAGTTGATTCATGGATTGACTATCAGCCGTGGGACATGTGCCGATGCGGCGTAGCGTGAATCACTCGACATGTCCTTCGCTGTGGTGGAAACCAACTTCATCCCCTCCTCCTTACCTCAGGGGAGTTGCTTGCAAACGCTGACGCTATTCACAAAGTGCGCGCAGGCCTCCTTTGGTGTCGCGAGGAATGTCCAGAAGCAGGATGGGATATTGGGTCAGGTTCGTTGCAAACTTCTTCTTTTGCAACTTGGCGCGGACACGACGAAGCACCTCGGCAAACATGTTCGCGTCCTTCACTCCAAGCATTTGGTACATGGCAGGCTCCCAGTCTTCCACCTTCACCGTGAAGGCCCACACACCACAAACACTGCGCAAGGCCTCTTCCACGGCCACAGTCTTGCCGGATTTGTAGCGGCCACTCACGATGGTCGCGTCGGACTGCTGCCGCCAGCTGCGCAGCCTATGTTGGATGTCATCTACGACCTTTCGTGGGACGACCTCGTCCGGAGACATGGCTGGCTCATAGGGTGCCATGAACTTCTTTACGGCCAGACGCTTCAGGCGAAAGTCCGAGGAGGCATACGTGAATGCAAGGCCTAGGCCAGACACCACAAAGCCTAGGCCAGACACCACAAAGCCTGCAACAGCCAGGGAAAAGTCTCGTATATCGCGAATGTCAGCTGTCCTGTTGGGCGCAGCATGCATTGCCCTTTGTATCACAGCTCGAAGCTGCGGCCACGCATTCAGTTGGGTCGGTGGCGCGCTGGGCCGTCTTCTGCAACTCACCGGCTTTGCCTTGCTCGACGCAAAAGCACTTTAGCATGAGTAATTTCAAAGATCTACGATGCAGTCAAAGCGGCCCAGCTGCGTCCGATGAAATGGCCTCCTCCAGCGCGATTCGCTCTGCCACTGAGGGCGGATGCCTTCTGCGGAAAGGGCGAGTACAAACAAGTACACACGCAAAGCTCTTAAAACTCCCCAGCCTCTGGCAGCAGGGTAAAGTCTGTCTGCGGCAAGCTGAAACAAGCTGCTGCAGCAATCGCGCAGAACAATGGCACACTTCCTTTGCGGCGTCTCATGGCCATCACTGCATGCGCAGGAAAGGTCAACAACGCAATGTGTCCATAAAGGGTAAGCAGCTGAATGCATGTGCGATAAGATTGAGACACCACGTCGTCCAACACAGCTGAAGCCATCGTGCAACACAGACTCTTGCAACTGCGCTCACGAGCCCCAAACGTCCAGCACGCTGAACCGAAGGACCCACCTTCTCCACCGGAGTGGGGTCTAGGGTTTTGTGGCCTTGAAGGTTTAGGGGGTGAGCAAGCCGACACTTTCGAGAAGCCTTGCCTCTTAGTACTCGGCTGTTCAAATCCCTCTAAAACTGATCCTGAAGCTAAACCCTACATTCTGAGAGCCCAAACACCAGTTCTGAGATGGTTGTTCGCACAGCTCTTCAGAGCCAACCCTTTTCTCGAAAACTGTGCCATCATGCAAAAACGCGAAAACACAGGAACTCGACCGCTGCGCGCAAGGAACCAAAATAACTGTCTGCAACAAGTCGGCACATCAACCTACCATGAGGCAACTTCCTCGTGCAAGCTTTTCAGGGCATCTTCTGTTTGGCGATTGTCGCGTGCAAGCTTGAAGCAAACCTGTAAATCATCTCTGTAGGATGCCATATGATGGCATGCCCGTTCTCATCGCGCATGAGCTTTGCAACTTCGCGTGGCTCATAGGCGGTAGTATTGATGACTGCCTCAATGCCTGCGCCTCCGCTCTGAAGCAGTGCGTTTAAAATCTGCTGACCCACCTGCTTTCCATCAAGTGTAAGACTCATGAAGTTCACCACGTCTTTTTCTGCCATCTTGTGAAAGCGCTGCTTGATTCCTCTCCTCAGAGGGGAAATGACACCGAAAGCGAGTCTCACACAAAGGTCAGAAACGTGACTGCAAAGCAAAACACGGGCAAAGTGTTTAGAGAAGGCACTTCAGCATACTGCATGCATCCACCAAATCACCAGCGCGGCGGCCACCTTACTGAAACTCTGTGCTCACGCAACAAAGGGAAGCATTCAAAACAACAGCTTGACAGAAGCCTGAAGCATTGCCTGCCACAGCACAATTGTCAATGATTGCTGCCGCGGCCGACTCGTGCTCGTGCATCTTGAGCAACTCACTCGCCTCCTTCTCGGTCATGTCGCCCACCCAGATGTCGAATCTGCGACCGCCAGCATCAAACGCCAGAGCCGAGGCAGCAGATGAGGCGGCCACCAGCACCTGAAATGCATTGAGACTGGGAAAGCGGCGACTCAACAAGGAAGTCAGAGTTGATTCATGGATTGACTATCAGTCGCGGGACATGTGCCGTTGCGGCGTAGCGTGAATCACTCGACATGTCCTTCGCTGTGGTGGAAACCAACTTCATCCCCTCCTCCTTACCTCGGGGGAGTTGCTTGCAAACGCTGACGCTATTCACAAGGTGCGCGCAGGCCTCCTTTGGTGTCGCGAGGAATGTCCAGAAGCAGGATGGGATATTGGGTCAGGTTCTTTGCAAACTTCTTCTTTTGCAACTTGGCGCGGACACGACGAAGCACCTCGGCAAACATGTTCGCGTCCTTCACTCCAAGCATTTGGTACATGGCAGGCTTCCAGTCTTCCACCTCCACCGTGAAGGCCCACACACCACAAACACTGCGCAAGGCCTCTTCCACGGCCACAGTCTTGCCGGATTTGTAGCGGCCACTCACGATGGTCGCGTCGGACTTCTGCCGCCAGCTGCTCAGCCTATGTCGGATGTCATCTACGACCTTTCGTGGGACGACCTCGTCCGGAGACGAGGCTGGCTCATAGGGTGCCATGAACTTCTTCACGGCCAGACGCTTCATGCGAAAGTCCGAGGAGGCATACGTGAATGCAAGGCCTAGGCCAAACACCACAAAGCCTAGGCCACACACCACAAAGCCTGCAACAGCCAGGGAAAAGTCTCGTATATCGCGAATGTCAGCTGTCCTGTTGGGCGCAGCATGCATTGCCCTTTGTATCACGGCTCGAAGCTGCGGCCACGCATTCAGGAGTATGGCGCTGACCGGCTGACCAGACCGGGATCCGGTCAACCGTGGCACGGTCGACCCCCCCCCCCCACGGTCAGCCGGTCAGCCGGTCAGCCGGTCAACCGGCCGACCGGGCGGGGCGCACGGTCAACCGGGCGGGCCCGGTTGACCGGCCGACCGGGCAGGCTCCGCAGTCAACCGAAACGCGCCCGGTTGACCGGCCAACCGGGCGGGTCCCACGGTCAACCGGGACCGGCCCAGTTGACCAGCCGATCGGGCAGGCCCCACGGTCAACCAGGCGGCGACCGGCCAACACGCAGCCGGATTCCACAGTCAACCGGTGGGCCGGCTGACCAATCTGGGATTGTCACGCTTGCCAACGAGCGGCAACCAAGGAATGTGCGTTCTCCTATCTCGGTCACGGAATCTGGGATGGACACATTTGCCAATGAGCTACAACCTTGGAAGGCACATTCTCCTATCTCAGTCACGGAATCGTTTGCCAACGAGCCGCAAATTTGAAAGGCGCAAAATCCTATCTCGGTCACTGAAACTGGGATGAACACGTGTGCCAATGAGCTGCAACCTTGGAAGGCCCAGTCTTCTGTCTCGGTCACGGAGTTCGGGATGAGCACAAGTGCCAATGAGCTGCAACCTTGGAAGGCACATTTCGGTATCTCGGTCACGGAAATTGGAATGTTCACCACGCAAGTTCGTTGAGAAGCTGCAACACGTCACTGGCTTCAAGCTGAGAAAGGCCGTAACTTCTGCTGGGATGGCCTCTGACAGCAATTCTTCGTTGTTCAACAGGCGGTTGTCTCCAACAATCACTTCCACCGAGCTCATGTTGCGCTGCGACTCATCTCCACAGGGCAGCCACCCATGCAGCTCCCTTTTGAACTCACGGACATTCATGTCTCTCGACACTTGAAACGGATCCTTGCCTGACAGCTGTCGCACCGTAATCTCTTTTGCCATAGCAACCGTTAAAGATCTCTGGGCGCAAAGGGAAGTCTGGACAAAACAATCCGATTTTGGGTCTCGATTGATTTTGCGGCCCCTGAAGGGTTCTACATTTCTCCACTGGAGTGTCTGGGCTGCATTGGGGTCATGACCATTTGTGAAACATTCATTCACCTACCCAAAATGGTTGATCCCCAAACGGTGTTGACCACCACAGTAGTGAAATCGATTGCCAGTAGTACCTAGCAGTCACTAGTGCAGCGGAACACAAGCGTCAACGCTCAAGCAAGGCAAACGCAACCACCGAAGCGACGGGCAAACAGCAAAAGGGCAACACGCTGGTCACCAGAGTAGTTTGGTATAGGAGTATTTATATGTATATGTATGTATGTATGTATGCACGTATGCCACAGCTGACAGCACGCCACGGGATGGTCACCAGAGCAGCTCAGCAGCGACTGCCGGCCACAACTGGCAGCACACCACCAGGGCAGTCACCAGTGCAGCGCAACACAGGCGTCAATGCTCAAGCAAGGCAAGCGCAACCACCGAAGCGACGGGCAAACAGCAAACAAAGGAGGGCCAATTGTTTTAGGATTTTTCGTATTTTTTCAAGTTTTTTTTGTTTTTCAGGGTGGGTGGCTTTTCGGTTTTTTGGCTTTCGTGGCTTTTACGTGGGTTTTTGTGGCTTGTGTGGCTTGTCATTTCGCATCCTCTGCATTCACAGTTCCTCTCTTTTTGCATTCTCTGCATTGCCAGTTCCGCTGCGGCAGGTGGCTTTTTGGCTTTGTGGCTTTTGGTTTTTCGCATCCTCTGCTTTCCCAGTTGGTTTTTGGCCTTGGCTTCCTGCATCCTCAACATCGCAAGTTCCTCTCTGGTGCCCCCCCGCCACCCCCCTTTCGATTAAAATGCACGCCACTTTTTCAATCGTCATGGGCGGGGGCTGCCGCCCCCCCCCAACCCCCCCGCCATTTGTTGATTTTTTGCCCTCAATTGAATCATCACCTTTTCAATCATCAGGCGACAGCTACTTTTTACATTCTTTGCCCCTAATTGTTCGATCCTTTTTCAATCACCATGGGGGGGCTGCCGCCCGCCTAGCCCCCCGCCATTTTTTAGATTGTTTGCCACTAATCGAATCATCGCTTTTTCAATATCATGCGAGGGGCTGCCGCCCCCCCCCCCCCAACCCCCGCCATTTTTTGGATTTTTTGCCCCTAATTGAATCATTATTTTTTCGACCACCATGGAGGGGGCTGCCGCCCCCCCCCCAACCCCCCCGAGCCTTTCATTGAATCATCACTTTTTAAATCATCATGGGGGGCCCCAGCCCGCCCGCTATTTTTTTTAGATTTTTGGCTCCTAATTGAATCATCACTTTTTCGATCATCATGGGGGGGCTGCCGCCCCCCCAACCCCCCCGCTATTTTTTAGACTTTTTGCCCCTAATTGAATCATCACTTTTTCGATCATCATGGGGGGGGCTGCCGCCCCCCCCAACCCCCCCCCCCCCCCCGCTATTTTTTACTTTTTTTTGCCCCTAATTGAATCATCACTTTTTAACTCATCTTGGGGGGGGCTGCCGCCCCCCCCCCCACCCCCGCATTTGTTTTAGTTTTTTGCCTCTAATTGAATCATCACATTTTCGATCATTATGGGGGGGCTGGCGCCCTGCCCCAACCCCCCCGGGCCTTTAATTGAATCATCACTTTTTCAATTATCATGGGGGGCTGCCCCCCCCCCCCCCCCCCAAACCCCCCCACCAGATGTTTTGCTCTTAATTGAATCATCACTTTTTAAATCATCTTGGGGGGGGCTGCCGCCCCCCCCCTAATTGAAGCATCACTTTCCCCCCCACACCCCCCGCCCCCCGGCTATTTTTTGGACTTTTTGCCCCCAATTGAATCACCACTTTTTCGATCATCTTGGTGGGGGCTGCCGCCCCCCCCCCCCCCAACCCCCCCGCCATTTTTTAAATTGTTTGCCCCTAATTGAATCATCACTTTTTCAATCATCAGGCGACAGCTATTTTCTAGATTCTTTGCCCTTAATTGTTCGATCCACTTTTTCAATCATCATGGGGGGGGCTGCCGCCCCCCCCAACCCGAGCCTTTAATTGAATCATCACTTTGTAATCATCGTGGGGGGGGCTGCCGCTCCCCCAACCCCCCCCCCCCGCTATTTTTTGGCTTGTTGCACCAAATTCAGTCATCACTTTGTCGATCATCATGGGGGCTGCCGCCCCCGCCCCCCCAACCCCCTGTGTTTGGTTTGTTACACAATTGATCTCGTGCAACCATTTGGCTCAAGGCCCTTTTTCAGTATCATAGCACACTCATGATCGCGTGACAAAGGAACCTTTGCAGGCCGCTTACAGGATTATATCACAATACAATCCACCAGAAACGATCCATCCTCCAATCATCCATATTGGCATATTGCACTCTCTCCGGAATAGATCTAGGGACCAAATCAACGACCTCAACTACCACAAGGGTACCAGTTCCCTTCGAGGATAGGCACCCCGGCAGTGGGCCTCACCCCCCCCCGCGCCTTTAATTAAATCATGCTGCTTTTTAGATTGTTTTGCCCCTAATTGAATCATCCAAAACCCCCCTTCACTTTGTAGAATCATCACTTTTTTGATCACCATGAGGGCTGCCGCCCCCCCCCCCAAACCCCCTTCACTTTTTAGATTTTGCGCAAATTAAAAATGCACCATCACTTTTCAATCATCATGGGGGAGCCTGCCGCCCCGCTACGTTTTACGTTTTCTACAGGGATTATTCTCACTTTACCATGACGCCTTGCCGCAGAAGAACTGATGATGCTGAAGATGCAGGAAGCCAGCCAAGGCCCTCGATTTGCTGGTGATGCTGGGGATGTTGGCTGGACATGCGGGGGATGTTGAAAGCCATGTTGATGATGTTGACGGACTAGCGCAAAATGCGTACATTTCGCGAGAAAAAGCTGTAAATTACAGCATTTTAGTAGCCAGGACGGAAAACAAAAAATCTAAATCTCAACCCGCAAACAAAAGGGCAACGCGCCGCCCGCCATAACAGGCAGCACGCCCTCACCAGAGCAGCTCGGCATAAGAGTATAAAAATATATATATATATGAGGGTTGTCCAATATTCCTTGCTCCAAAAATCGCCGTCCGCCTCGCCCTTCCGCGAACTTCCGCGATGGAGGTAGAACCACACATCTGATACGTGTCTGAACATAAGTAAGTTTCCGTAAAGTAAAAGTAAAGCAAGCCAAGAGGAAGAGCTAGTGCAGAAAGCAAGAAGTAGACTAGGAATGGACCAAGGATGGGACGAAGAGCAGGCAGAACACCGGAGAAAGAAAGGGGGAACGTGGCAACAAGCGACGAGCTACGCTACGCAAAGAGACTGGCCACCCCCCGCGCACGTCGACAGCCACAGTTGCGGGGGCTTCGTTTTGGTATCGTTTTGGGTATCGTTTTGAGCACTAGCGCGCTGCTACAACTGCGGCGTCCCCGGGCGAGAGAATGAGCAGCAGCACTGGGAAACAGACACAAGCGACATTTGACGCTAGAACAAGAGACGGGTGCGCCAGCCCCGGCGCAAGGCAACAGCTGCAATTGTATGGGTTTCGTTTTGGCATCGTTTTGGGTATCGTTTGGAGCTCCGAATGTAACGCCGGAACGAAAAACAAATTTCGGACCGCCAATATTTTTTTGCGCTTTTCTACAAACTCTGCCGCGGGAATCAGAAGGACCGCCGAATATGATGCCAGACTCGGTAGCTCAGTTGGCCCCAGGCGCTCCACGGTATCGTTTCGGAATTGCGCAGGTATCGCTCGGGGTATCGTTTTCATCTCAGTACAAATCAACACATGAAGCACACATTGACTTTGACAGCCCAGCTGAAACATCGCAGCTTTTAAGTACTAGCAGGGTACGACCCAGCTCAAGCAGCACAACTTTTCAGTACTCGTGTAGTACAAGAGTAAAGCTTCATCCCATGATAACACATAACCTTCCGCGAAACTTCCGCTCGCCCTTCCGCGGTCTTCCGCGACCACAGCGCCGTAACACCGAATATGCTTTCGTATTCAGTCCTTACAAAAAACCATAGGGGGGTTTTGGTCGATCCTCATATATATGTGGCAGTTGATCAATACGCTTGTTTCCGGAAAGCGCCATCTTCGTGAGAAAAAAATTATTTCGCGAATCTTTCGCGACTCCATCGCCATGCCCTTTTGTTTGCAGCGCGCGCTCTGGCGCCATTGTGGCTGCTGCGGCTGTGCTTGCAAACACAGTAGCCGCAGTTCACTTGCGCTGGCAGGCTTGCAGTAGCGCTAAATGAAAGCAGTCACCGTCATTCGCCCTTGCCACTCTCGCTTGGCGGGGATGTGCGGAACCAAGCTAGATTGATCGTTCGAGCCCCTTTGTTAAGCGCACCGGCTTTTGCAAAAAAATGCGGTTTCGCAGCCGCAGGGCTCAGTGAATCACTTTGGATGAGCCAATGATGTGTGAAACGAGGGGGCGCACAGCGGCACACACACACACACACACACGGAGACGCATGTGATGCAATATATGGCTTCTGCTGGCAGCGGGATGTCATGATCCGGCTCGCTCGCGGGCACGTTTCCGGAAGGGCAGGCCTTCAGCTGCTTCCGCGTACCTTCGGTAGGCGCGAAAGCTCTTGCTCCGCTGTTCGGATGCGTGTTTTCGGCCACGTCCACGGACTTCAAGGTGGAGATTGCGCACATGCTGCATCAGGGTGATGAAGAGCAGGCCACGGACAGGGGTCATGCGTCGTGCGGCGACTGCCACACGGCGCACGAAAGCAAAAGCCTGTTCAGCTGCGCTGTCATTAATGCTAGGAAATCTAGCAGCATGGCTGCTGGGCCAGACAGCCTTCAGCGGGTGAGTTCCACCAGGGCGACAGCCGGCGTGTCCCTTGCGGAAATGGAACTTGTCCACGACGAGCCGTAATTTGCTGAGCGTGCGGCTGACTTTGTTGAGGCGCGCGCGGGCCTTGCCACGGATGAACCTCTTGAGCGTGCATGCGCAGTCGTACCAGACGAGGGAAAAGCATCGCCTCAGAAAGCAGAGGCGCTGCTTGCGGGACAGCATTTTCAGATCCACGCACTCCCTTTCTGCAAAGGAGCCGAGCAACTCAGCCAGGAAGAAATAGACTCCGGTCGGGGATTCATGGGTGTATACAAGTTTCAATGCGGCGACAACTTGGCATTCCTTGACAGCGGCCAGAACTCCACCGCTACGACGCGCTTTCTGGGCGCGCTGCCATTGCGCTCGGCAGCTCATGGATTGCGAGCGCGAGGAGAACTGTAGCAAGCGTCCCACTCGGGGCTTGACCTGGCACTCCCGAGATTCAGGCTCCAGCAGCCGGCGACCGAATTCCTCTTGGAAGCGAACTGGCACATCATTGCCACGCAAAGTGAAAGTTTCGCCAGAAGAAGTTGCAAAGGTATAGGCCCTGGCCCTGGCCACTCTAGTGACCTTTATTAGTTTCACTGGATACTGACCCTTGGCGTGGATGAAAGCAAATTTGATCGCCCGCCACACACGTCGACAAGACGCAGCGCAGCTCTGCAGAGTCACATGCTGCCTTGCGCCGTCTAGGGCAAGAATGATATGCCTCATCAACGCATCCGAGCCCAGCACCGGGTCCGAGTCCATGAGATGCAGGCCACAATACTTCTTGCCGGGAATCGGTGCGTTCTGGCAGCCAGTCAGGCAATGCGCCTGTAGCAGCGGGCATTCCCACACCCCGTCGTGGGTGTTGGCGCACAGCTTCGTGCGCAGCTTGGCGTTGCCGTCGATGCCGAGAATCCCGCGCTCGCACTTGGCGCATTGATGCTCATGCAGCCAACGAGTCTGAAACCTCTGCGTCACAAGCCTCGACACCACGCCTCCATCCGATTTTGCTGCACACTCCAGTCAACATGCAGACCAGCTTGACCCAAGCTGCGACAGACGCTGTGCTGCAACCAAGTGTCACGGAGCAGTCGCTCCACACTCCTTCGCTTGAGGCCAGCGGGGAGAGGAAGCAACTCTGCGATGCCGTGGAACGATCCACCACAATGCAGCAGAATGTCGGTCACGGAATCAAGCATGGAGGCTGTAAAGAGCAAGTTCGGCGTCGTGTTGAAGACTGCCGGCGGGAGTGCGCTCAAGAACTTGCCGCCCCCGTGATTTTTTGGGCGGACGGGCTCAACCCAAGGTCCGTGATATGCGGCACGGCAGCCTACGCAACGCAAATACTTTAGCTGGACAAGTTTGCACTGCGAAGCGCTGGTGAAGCAAGGCACCACCCTCATGTGGAGGACTGCCAGCAGGCTGTTGCAACGCACGCACTGGGACACATCGGGGGCGAATTCCTCTGCGGGCACATCTGTAGGAAGTACCAGCCCCGTGCCCAGCAAGTGGGGGGCATGCCTGACCAGCTTGCCTGCGATGAAATTGCAGTCGGCAGCTGTCAAACGCACGGCCGGATATGCTGCGCGCAGCATCTCGGCAGCAAACCGGCCGCGGCAAGATCCCGCAGCATGCTGCTGCGCCAGAACAAGGGCGGGAAGCACGTCAAGCGTCGCCGGGTATAAAAGGCCGCTGTGCTGCCCGCTGCTCCCGCCACGCACTTTGAAGTTGAGAATTTTCCCTAGTAATTCAAACGGGGCTGCCTCATCCGAGTACTGCTGCAGGCTCTGCAAAACAGCCTCCATGTGCGAGAGGTCTGGGAGCGCTGGCTCGGGCGCGTCCGCGTCGGCCTTAAACTGCTTCCTGACCGAGTCTGTCAGCTGCAAACACTGCGCACGATACTGCTCCACATCACCAGCGTGCTTGTGCCTGAAGAAATGTAGCAAATTGCAGAACGCAAGAGCATGCTGCGCCTCCGCAGGGGCACGCCGCTTGCGAAGGCGGTGGCAGGTAGACTGCTTGCGATACACTCCAAGTTGCGCATAGTGCAACAAAGAAAATGCATTTCTCGTATGAGACTTTGCGACTTCCTTTTCCAGAGGCTTGCCGTCGTCCTTGCTATGCAGTCTCCTGAGTACAGTCCCTTGGTCGACGACGATTGTTGTTGTGCAATTTAGCAACCAGTACGCAGCGGCAGTTGCGTAAATGCGGTTCTCTGGTCCAAGGGCGCCCCACCAAGGCTCGAAAGCGCTGTCAGGTAGCATGGGCGCCCCGCCGGGCGCAGCCGAGCTGCTCCCGGGGATTAGCAGGAAGGGGTATCTTTGGGCAGCTTCGTCGCGCAAGTTATGCGCGCGCAAAGCACTCAACAAGTCGGTGTTTGGGGCCAACAGCGTAGACTGCAGAAAGAGATAATCAAAAACTGTCTTGGCAACCTCCACACTCCGGCGAGACAGTTGGCGACTCCATCGGAATTGCTCCTGCTGGACGCTATTGCACGCGCATTGCCACGAGTGCAAGAGGATGGCTAGGCGCCACGGTAGCGACTTTAGCCTGCCGGCGTGGCTGAATTTTTTAGGGTCTTGCAGGTACGACTGCTCTTGTGTTAAGACCTGGGCGTCGTAGTGCTGCTGGAAGTACTCCAGAGCGTCGCCCGCGAAAAAATAGGGGACATACTGGCGCGTTTGGTCGTAGTCTGAAGAGCCGGTACCGTGAGCTGTCTCTGTTGCCTTCAGGACACCCACAAACCGAACTAGGAGGGACGCTGGTAAGGGCGACGGCAGGATCGAGAACAGCCGCGGCCTTCTCAAGCCTTGGGGCGCTGTGGAACATCAAGAACCTGCTCTGCATCCCTAAGGCGCCATCCTTTTCCAGGAACTCGTGCCACTCTTCAATGTGGAAAGTCATGGCAAGGCACAAGCACGTCTGATGCATGCAGAAGCGGTTCTGGTCCCGAAGAACACTGCGCTTCCAGACGCTGCCGTTGAAAAGTTTTGACATAGTGGACGCGTTGAAGCCAGAACAGCAAAAAGCGGCCCTCGTCATACAGGCCAACAGCCCGATTGCCATTCTGGGCCATCTGGGCGCCAATCGCGGGCAAGGAGCCTTCGTCAGAAAACAACGAAGGCTTGTTCTGCTGAAGAGCAGCGAGCTGCTTTTGCATGGTTTTGCGGCGTTTAGCGCGCTGTTCAGACTCGGCCGCTGCCGCAAGTTCATCGTCCTCATCATCTGGAGCATCCCCGTCCTGCCTGACTGCGTTCATTGCTTCCTCTAGCAGGTGCTGTTCAAAGCCGGAAATGATGTCGGCCATGGCAGTCATGACACCACTCTTGTTTGCCCCGCTATCCCAGCCACAGGAGCGGCGGGACCAAGAAAAACTCGTTGATGAACAAGCGAGCTTTGGCGCACGCGGTTCCCAGTACAGGCAGGAAGAGCAAGAAGGCCCACTCAAACGGGCAGCCGGCTTTCTGGGCTAGCGACCATGCACCTCGGGAAGTGTCTGCTGTATGCTGGCTTCAGGGAAGCGGACCATGTTTGCAAGCATGTAGCGCGACACCACACGGGCGCGCTCCGGGCTTTGGTGATATATGCGAGCAAACACGCGGTTGAAAGCGTCGGGAGTGTTGTGCAACAGGCTGCCCCAGCTTGCCTCCTCTTCCACGCCCTCAACCTGCGTTAGCTCTGCGTCTCCCGCGGGAGGGACTGCTGCAGGCTCACGCACGACGGACGAGGCGGACCCGCCCTGCACAGAGATCACGTTCGGCTCAGTCACCGAGCGGCATCCGCCCACAGACACACCATGCGGACCCCGGGCCGTTTGCAGCTCCACTAACAGCACATGTTTGCCAGAAAGGATCGGAGCAGGCCAGGAAGGCGAGAAGCCAGCAAAGGCAGATGATGCAGCCAACTGCACCGCACCGCCGCAAACGTCACACAGCAGTCCCGGGGTTGCCGGTTGGAGTCTTTGCGCAGGGCTGAAGCAACCTAGGACGTGCTCCTGCAGAGCCACGGTGGAGCTGTCTAAGCAACACAATGGCACAGACACCCGTTGCACAGCGGCAGCAGTCGGCTCAACAGACCCCTGCCAGCCCTCCACTGCAGTAGACACTGCAAGCATTGCTCGAGAGTACATCTGCGTAGCCTCATCAAAGAAAAGTAGGACTGCGCCCTGCCGCAAGACTCGCTGAGCTCGGACTGGAGATACCAGGCGAAGCGACTGGCAAACGGTCGTGTGCAAAAACAAGCCAGCAGAGAGCAGGACCACGAGGCCGGCCCGTGCTTTGGGCCACAATAACAAACACAGCTGCAGCAGCCCAAGCGCAGTGACGTGTTGAAGTGGCGTGCTCAAGCAGGGTGAGATCTGCAGCAAGCGTGCGCACCCAAGGGGCTCCAAAGCGCTAAGGCAGTCCCCGCGCGTCGTGTGTAAAGCCAAGAAAAGATTCTCAGACCCGTGCGACAATTGTCTTTTTGGCTGAAAATTTTAACAGCTCTGCCACGGGCGGAGTGCTGTCTGGAAGACCAAAATGCCAGGTCGCGCGCGGTGGGATACTGAAAAATCGTCGGTTGTAGCTGTTCCAAGCAATGCAAGGCAGTCAGCGCAAGTCCAGAGAGCAGGGCGTGAGCCGACTCTCGGCCAGCACAAAAAGGGTCTTCGCAGCCAAGTCCCATATCAAGACGTTTGGGCAGGTCTGGTCAGCGAGAAGCTCGGAAGCAAGGGGCACAGGCAGCGGCATCTGCCGAAACTCTTGGGCGTGGAAGAAGAAACGCCAGCTAGGGCGGTGTGCCAAAAGCCACGCCCAGCGCTCTGCCGCGCGGGTGCGGCCGATGCAAAATAGCTCGCGCCAAGCGTGCAAGAAAGAAGCTCGAAGGTCGGAAGTGTCAAGCAACGCCACGGCCGCTTTACGGGCAAGCTGAGGCAAGCCAGGAGAACGCAAACTTTCCGCACTGGTCGAAGATGTTGGCGTGGATGGCCACGCTTCTGTTGCGCCTCCACCCTCGTCCTCCCCGGAAGCTAGAGGAGAAGGAGGACTACAGGCGCCGCCGGCAATCTCAGCGGTGCTTGCTGCAGGGAAGCAGCTTGCGAAGGCGTAACCTTGCAGGGTCCGAACCATGCAGGGCGCGGCTGTTGCGCCGGCGTCGGGGTAGGGCAGGACGCGGGACTCCGTGCTTCCAGCGATTGCCAGAAATGAGCGAGTGCTGGAAGCGAGTGGCGCAAGTAGCCTCTGAGCGTCGACGCTTGACAGGGGCTCAAGCTCGGGGCCAAACAGGGTGTACCGACCTTGCGAAAACCAAAGTGTGAAGTGCAGAGGCTTGCGGAGGGACACAGGCGGGCAGGGTTGCTGGGGCGCGTGTCCAAGGGTCGACAGCCACTGGAAGGAGGCGACCCTGCCTGCGCCCACATTCAGTCTCACTGCCCAATAGCGGGATGATGTCACTTGGTAAGAAGTTAGCTGACAAGCCAAGTCCCCAGCAGCATTCGCCGTTGTCAGCCCCAGGAACACAGCAAGGCTGGGGACTCTTTGCAAAGAAGGCGACAAAGCAACGCGAGCTGCAAGAACATGTGGAGAGCCAAGCGCACCAAGCCAGATCCTTGCGTTATACTGTGGCTGGTAGTGGAGGCGCCACGTGCGGTGAAAGGTCTGCAGCGCGGCGGAACCTGGCCGCAGCACTTGAAGCTGACGCTCGCTTGGGTAGCCCTGCTTGAGCAGAGCAATGAGAGCGCGATTTGTGCACAGGCCGACACACGAGCACGCAAACAGAAGTAATGAAAGCCCGGGAGGGCGCACGGCATAGCGGCACACATCCAGGGTGCTGCGACAGAGACATGCGTGTCGAGACAAGGAAGAACAGCTCAGCAGAAATTGCAACACGAGCTCCTGAACGGCACATGGCAGGCTTACAAAGCCAGCTCCTCCACACACGACACGCTCGTCAAGCACCTTGGAGGCAGCCGTGCCATGGCGGGAAAACGAAACCGCCTCACGTGTCACTGTTGGACATGGGAAAATGAAGGAACCGGCGTCTTCAGCTTGCCGGGAAATGCTTTCATGCGCAACTATGGCGTAAGCTTGATGCGCCTGAGCTGGCTGAATGCGCCACGCACCCCGATGCCTGCGATGCAAGTGATTGAGGGGCACGTGTGTCAGCTGCTCGTTGCGGCCGTTGAACAGGGCCAGTCGCTCCTTGCAGAGCAGCAAAGTAAGGGTCTGCTGGTGGCGGAAGTCGAGGGCCCGTGCGCCGAATGAAGAACCTTCAAGCGAGCCCCCGTCCGCGCTGACCCACTCCGCGTGTGCGCAGAAACCCTCCTCCACAAGCAAAGCAACCCCCCAATAACTGTAGGGCGACTGCTGTTGGCGAGATGCGGTCAGCTGCTGAGCAAGGCCATGAATATCACTCGTTGAGCACGCCCCGAGGAACAGGATGCAAGTCTGATGCGAGGGCTCCAACTCAACACAGAACGACATCACGGGAGAGGGCGCGATCTGTCCCGAGAAGAGCGCCAGACGAGACTCGAAGTTGTTCTGAGCCTGCCAAGAACCTGCAAAAGGCCGTACTGCCGCGGGCGCTGCGGCATCAAGAAGGAGGCGGCCAGCCCAGGGCAGTCTGTGATCTGCCAGAGCCCTCAGTGCTTGATTTACGCAGAGTCGGCCGGAGCACGCGCAATTGGCAAGCTGCTCGCTGGAAACGCTCTGAAGACAATTGCAGTCCAGTGCTATCTGACGCAAGTCTTTGCTGAGCGCAAGCCAAGAAAGTGCGCCGGGCAGAATGAAGGAAGAGGTAAAAACCCGACACAGACAATCGGCTGGCAGAGACGCCAGACCATGTGTGTGGCCGCAGTGCGGATGGATGGCAGAGGACTCGTTCACGGACATGTCCTGGCGTCGTGGCAAGGGAGTGTGCTCTCCCGTCACCGCTGCGCGACACAAAGCATCTTCTCGGAATTGCATGAGCTCAAAATGGCCAGGCGCATCGGTGTAGTGCACACAAATTGGCGAAACTGGACTGTGTGGAGCATGTGTGTGCAGGACAGCTGCAGGTGTGATTGGCACGCATGTGGCATCGCCGAGGAATTGCAGCCACTGGCCCTCTGGCTCCAGGTAAAGCAGCAGGCCGCGCTGGGCAACAGCGGGAAGCAGCGCACGGGCAAGGCCAAGATCAGCCTCGGTTGCCCAGCACTCAGCAGTGGCAATGCGCCGAACGTCCGCTGCACTGGCAAGCGGAGAGCCAAGTGCGGCCAAGGAGAGCTCCCTCCGCAAGGAGCGTGGGCTGCGCAGCAAGGCCTGGGAAAGGCTGTTATTAAAGCAGTTCCCGTCTCCGGAATTTGCCAAGATGTCAAAGCTGGAAGCGTTTCCTGATCCTGGTCGGCGCTTTGCAGGGTAGGCGTGCGGGGATAACGGATGCCCCGCTGACACGAGCTTGGGAGCCCATGTCGCGGCCTCCGGCACTTGGTGAATGAAGAGGGCGGAGCGCGGGCGGATGGATGCCTCAGCTCTTAGCCACTTGCTTCCCTGTTACGTTGGACTTATCGTTTCGGAGGTCAACCAGCGCTATAGGAAACCGAGTCGCAATGGGACAATGAAAGCCCTCTCTCTCAACCGGATGTTCTGCAACATTAGGGTTGTTTGTTGAGCTCAACCTCCGCGCTTTCGGAAGCCGCACGGAAAGGGCATCCTCAATCAGTGGAATCTAAAGCGCCTTCCAAACGATGTCCCGTCGCTCTCTGAGTTTTATCTTTGTGGCTTAAGAAGCCATACTGGAAGGGCATTGTCGAACTCGAAATTCAATTGAACCTCACAGGCTTCGCATTGAATTTTACAGGTTTCGCCACGACACCACCAGAACTGCCTCGCCCCCTTGTCCATACGCGTGAATCAACACATTCTAATTCCACAAAGTAGGCATTTCAGGGCTTGGATACGCCTTTTTTTAGTCGAGAAACGGCCACAAACCCCCAGGGTCTTCTCTATCCCCACCGATAACACCCGGGAACAAGCGCTGAAGGTGCGGGCAAGAAACGAGAGACGTCCCACAACGCCGCTTCCGCGATACGTCCACGATGGGGCAGGGGACTTCAAGGTCCGCTCGGCGAGCACCCTCAAAATACCCCAGCTCCACCGCACCTGCTTCCACGGGGATCATGAGGAAGCCGTTCACCACCTGGATGGGGCCGCACACTGAGAAGACATCTCCCAGCACGACAAGTGACTGGATTTGCCAAGAGGTGGTGGAACTCCACAAGAAGCACGGACTGGTGGCTGTGATGAAGCACGGCAGGTCCTGGCGTGGAAGGACAAGGCAGCGAAAAAGAAACAAAGCAATGACGGGTAAGAACACAGAAACACATGTAGTAGAACCGCGGAGCACCGCGCTCCGACCTCGGGGTTCAAGATCGTGGTATCCAGCGGTGCAACCTGGCCGGCCAGTCGGAACCCCCGAAGGAACAAGAGTCGACGGGCAGACACAGAGTCCCAGCAAAAGGAAAGCCCGGCGCGCCTCCTTGCCGTGCACCTCCGCACTTTGCGGCGCAGCGCAAGGGTCCTGCGAAGAATGCCACAGCACCGTGATGAAAGTGAAGGTTGTGTGTAATATGAACAACTCGATCTGCCTCCATGCACATATCTGCCCAGGAGGCATTGCCGCTGAGGACCGAGGAGCCAAAACGGACCTGACATGATTAGGTCAGCTTGCTGGGGCGTAACATTGAACCGAGGGCCGAGCCGCTTCCAATACCGTGCACGAAGACTTTGGACTCGGTACGGCTCACCAGGTCGGCTCTCGACGCTTGTGGCCAGAGGCTACACAGGCGCTAACTGCGGGCGAGGCACACTGCAGTAGCATCCGGGGCCTGGCAGCCAAAGGAACATAACACGACCAAAGGGTTCACGACGGAGGGACGCAGGATCGAGCCTTGCCGGTGACGCAGTCAACGCCCTGCGCAGGACAAAGACTTTCAAGACGCACGGCGTTAAAACGGAAGCAGCCTGGAAAGAGTTGAGCTTGAAAAAGCGAGCCATGATTCGAACTAAACAGAGGTCGCGAAAGCACGGAGGGCAGAAGGCGAGCCAAATGCTCGGCAGCCGGGAAGTATCGCGAACCAAATCACACAGCCCTGTCCCC